AGCAGATGCGGTAGTTATCACTTCTCTCCTGGCGTCCCGTCTGCCGTGGTGCGGCATTTCCACAGGGGCCAGCCTGGGGACTGTGTCGCATGTGACATTCTACAGGGAGCACCAGTGATAAACCAGGTGACTGAGGCCGGGCTTAGCACACCTGCCCGTCTTCCTTCTACAGCCTGAACACGTGGGGAAAGCCCAGGTTTAGACTTCTCACCGGGGCAGTTCTCCCCTCCAGGGGACAGGTGACAATATCTGCAGACATTTTTGGTTCCCATGACTTGGGGGGGACTGCTGGCATCTAGTGGGTAGAGGGCAGGGTTGCTGCTAAACATCCCACAATACACTGGGCAGCCTCCTCCCCCCAATGAAAACTTCCCACCTCCAAATGTCAATAGTGTGGAGCTTGGGAAACTCTGGGGTACAGTGAGTGTGGCATCTCTAACCTCGCTGGAGGCCTCGGTGTCTGCATGTGTGGAGCAGAAATCACGGGTAGTTCCAGCAATTAAGAATGAAATTATGCACGAAAAAGTTCTGAGCAGTTTCTCACACAAAGTAGTAAAACATGCCAGCTCATTTGACTAAATCAAACGAGTCTCTAATCACGTGGTCATTTCTCGACTCTAGTTTCCGTTACTTTGGAGAACTACAGGATGCAGGGTGATATGGGGACTCCCTCAGGGACTGAGCCTAGGACTCGGGCCGTCATGTTGGGACTGGGACCAGGGGCAGCCGGGTCTTACGTTCTCCTGGATGAACGTGGGCCTGTGGTTGTTGCCTTCCTGCACGCTGATGTGAACCGTGGCCGTGGCCGACAGCGGTGGCTCCCCGCAGTCCCTCGCTCTGATTAGTAGTGTAAACCGAGGAGCAGTCTATATGGGGAGGAAAGGGAAGTCAAGCTCCGATGCGGGAAAGGGGATGGATGTCAATACAGGAACATCCCATTTTAGAATTTCAGTAGCAAGCCAGCCAGAGGGTTTCCCAGTGCCACATCAATCCTGTGCCCAGGGTCAGAGACACAGCCATTTCATTGTTTTAAAATAAAATCCACATAACCTCATAATCTAAGCATCCCAAGAGTCGGATTTCTCCACTATCACGGTCAATCTCGAAGCCACTTTCCTTCAGTAACGGCTTTTGTGAAACGAGGAAGTAAAGGACTCGAGAATTTGGAGTATTTTCTTCATCCAAATCAACCGTTAACAGCTGAAGAACAGGCTGACCTGGAAGAATTTTTAAATTGTTACTATTGGCCAAAGGCAGCCTATCGGACCCGTAGGAAGGTGACACTTTGCTGACTGGCATTGGGGCATGCACCAGAATAGCTGAAATATTTGCATATAAAATCAAACTGTAGGAGGAGCAGACAAAACAAAAAGGGGTATTCACATCATCATATGACCATGATTGCAAATGCAGAAGACTTAAAGGGCAGAATTGATAGGTAGGCTTTTAACTGCATGGATACAAAAGCTTCAGACAAAATTTAAAAAGAATAATAAACCAGAAGGACATATTTGAAATATACATGGCAGACATATACATTCTTTTTAAAAAAAAAATTTTTTTTATTGATTCCAGAGAGGAAGGGAGAGGAAGAGAGAGAAAGAAACATCAAAGATCAGAGAAAATCATTGATCGGCTGCCTCCTGCATGCCCCACACTAGGGATCGAGTCCACAACCCAGGCATGTGTCCTGACCAGGAATCGAATCTCAAATCCTGACCTCCTGGTTCATAGATCAATGCTCAACCACTGAACCATGCCAGCTGGGCGACATAGACATTCATAAAACAGAGTGAGGAGGTTAAAATCAAGAAGAAAAATGAGAAACACACTAATGGAAATGGACAAAGAAAGGAACAAGCAAGGGGAAGAAGAAATGAAAAGAGCCAAGAAGCTTACAAAGCATGCAAGCACCTAATGTGAACCATCCACTCCCACAGATGGTGTGGAGGAGTAAATTGGAACACAAACTGTGGGTGCATTTCCCACCACGTGAGAAATTACGGTGACGTTCAGGAACTCACTGCCCAGCTCTGTCTTTCTCCCTCATTGCATTTGGCTTTATTTTAGACTAGTGTCCCGGAGCACAGATTCATGCACATTAAAAGGAAATTAATTAGAAGAAATATTTTAGTATCGCTATGCACCCTTTCTCTATGATAGAAGTGTCAACGAAATTCACAATCGACAACGACAGATCGAAACATGCATGCTATTGGCACCAGCGAGAGTTTTATATGTTTCGCGAATGTGCAAGTCAACTTAGTCTTTTATAGATATAGAATAAATTTGCTTAATTAGACTTGCTTTCTGATTTAGCTAAACTTTTTCCAGCCCAGTTAAGCACCCCAACTTCTCTTTCAGGTAATTGTCAGCAACACAGCAGTAAATATCAACATGAAGCAGATTATTATTGTAGATCATACAGGGAGAACAAAGGGTAAAATATTTAACTGCAGCAGTGTTTGACTACATTCTGTGCAGTGAGAAAACCTGAAGTCATTTTCAGTGGCCACCATTTCTTACTTCTTTTCAGTTGGGTCAAGTTTCTAAACTTTCTAAATCTCCGTTTTGTGGCTAATGAAAAGAAACTTAGGATTCCACTGAGTCTCCTATCTACCTACTCCAGGACTTTTATGAGGATCAAATGAGATGAGGCACGGGAAAACACTTCACAAACATTTGGTTAAAGTGTAAAATGTTTGCACCTGGCTATAAAGCAAGTTGTGCTCCTGGGCTGAAGAAACTCCAAGGAGGCTAATCGCTAGGGAGAGGAAGCTGGGTGTTGCTACATGACATCATTACCTGGTACCCACAGTGACCATTTCTGGGCTGGGCTAGGCTGTGGGCCACATTTTGCGTCATGGAGTCTTGGCAGCATTGGCTGCGATTTCATTGGGTGTCCCTCCGGGGTGGTGGTGGGGAAGCCAAGTATAGGTTTGTCGGTGCCAGGCCGTGGTGCCATTTATTTTTAAATGGCCAGTGTGCATCATAGCAGCTCCTGTGTTGAGCATCTGCCCCTTGGTCATCAGTGAACATCATAGCTACTGGTTGGATGGACATTTAGCCTTTTATATATATTCTAGAGGCTCGGTACATGAATTCATGCACAGGTGGGGTCTCTCAGGGTGGCCTGGGGAGATCAGGCCCCAGCTCATGCCCCCAGCCTTGCAGCTCCACAACCCTGCCTTGCACCTCACCTTGGCTGGTGCTGCCCCCTCACCTGCTCCACCATCCTGCCTGCAGGGCAATCTATTGGGGCCAGGCCCTCCATCCGGCTCCCTCAGTGCCTGTGAGCCAGGCGGTGGCCCTGCCGCTACCACTGGTCGCCATCTGCAGGGCGATCAGTGGGGCAATTGGGCTCTGCTCACACCTGCCTTGACCTGGCACTGCCCACTCACCTGCTCCACCATCCCACCACAGTCCCACTCTCGTTGGGGCCCATCAGTGCCAGCAGCACCTCCACTGCTGCCCACTGCCAGCGCCACTTTGCCAACACCTGCCATGTTCCGTGAACTCACAGTCTCCAAACTCCCAGTTTCCGGGCAGAATGACCGCCCGAGGGGGCAATTGCATATTAAACTTTTATTATATAGGATATTCGTATTTACATATTGACTCTGCCAGAGGACTCAACATTGCATTGCCAACAAAAACAGGCTGCAGACCTGAAGCATTCACTCTGATCCAGAGCCTGAGCCCTCTGGATGTGGCCAGTGAACTGCCTCCCTGCAGACAACTGCGAGCAAGTGCCCCAAGTGTCGGCAGGAGAACCTTCAGGGGACAGGAAGGGCAGCCCACAGCCCAGCACACACACCTGCTGCGTGGCTCTCTCTCACACTGACATTGAATTCATTCTCGGGGAACTGGGGCGCATGGTCATTCACATCAGTGATCCTGATGTTGAAGATCAAGGAGTTGTCCACGTACTCTCCTGTCAAACGGTTCACAACATCGAAGTAAACCTGGGAAGCAGAGAACCTTGTTAATGTGGAAGAACCCCTCGCTTGGTGACGCTAATCACATTGCCGCCAGAATCACAATGGAGAAAGGAGACATCAGGGATAATTCCTGCATGTGGAATTAGCCTTGTGTAGTAGCTGGAAGATTGCCATCCTCGGAGAAACAAACCATAGTGCATTGACGTGGTGGATTGGCATATGGCTATTTAAAATTACACATGCAAGGTCTATGCTCTTAGACACAGATGAGCAAGAAGAAACATCCTATGTGCCAAACACATATAACATCACTTCTATGCAGAGATCGTAAGTGGGTCAAGATAACTGTTGGGATAAAGATCAACAAAAAGTTATTTCGAGGAATATGAAAGGATGAATTTTTTTTTTAGTGTATTTGCATCCTATGAAATTGAGCATGTTTTGATATGAATAGATAGGATTTCTGCACAGAAAAAAAAAGACCTTTTCCCTTTTCAACTCCATCTTAAATCTTACAGAAGTTCTAACTTGGTGTCACTGCTTCTCATAGGTTCATAGAATTAACAAGAAGTTAGCCCCCCCATCCCACACCCAGACCCTGCCACCTCCCAAACACAACTGGGAAGTGTTGAGGCTGGTTCTGGTGACTCCTTCACTGTCCAGTGCCACGAGAAAGGTCTTTTTGCCACTGCATTGGGCTTACTTAGTGTTTAATAGCACCTGTCATTATGGACAGACAATGATCAGCATTCTTCCACCGAGGCAGGTGGTTGAGCCCCAACGCTCAGTTTGTATAGTGCTCCCGTGACACTTGGCTCTCCACTTTTTTTTATCTTTATTGTTGAGAGTATTATAGATGTCCCTCCCCCTCTTCCCCTCATTGCCCCCATCACCTGGAGGCAGGTGTATAGCTGATCACCAGGTCCCCTGGCTCTGAGGCCCCCCAGGAGTTGCAAAGTCAGGTACTTCCTGTGCCCTGCCTGGGGCCACCCAGTACAAGCTACAGAGTGATCTGCAGATGGCTGCTATTTGTGTTGGGCTTGGCGGTGCCCAGGAGAGGCCAAACTGTGGACCAAGGCAGGCTGCTGCTAGTGCTGGGCCTGGGGCCTTCTCTTGAGAGGTACAGGGCATTCTGAGGCCAGCTGCTGCTTGTTTGAGAGATTTTAGAAAAGTCTGAAGCCTGAGCCTGGACTGGCTATTCATATGGAAAGACCACTGCACACAGCTTGAGTGGGGCTGCAAATTGGGTGGTGCAGGGCTTCAGGAAGTTACCAGGGTGGGGAACACACTGTGGGCCAGCTTGATGGAAACTCAGACATGGTGCCCGCCAGTCAGCACTGTGGTGTGGAAGGTCTCAGCATAGGAACAGTGACCTCTGCCAGCATTTTTGTCTGGGAGAAAGCTGCCTCTTAGTTCTTTGCTCTTATGCCAGACAATTTAGTTCCTCCCCATATATCCCTGGTTCCTTTCAAGCTGCTGGAGCTCAGAGGGAGTGAGTCCAAGTAAGTCTCTGTGCTGGCCCTTTAAGAGGAACAACTGGGACTTCAGTAGCCTCTGTGTCACTCAGCCACAATTCCCACCTGAAGTTACAGGAATTCTCTTCCTGGCACTGAATCCCTGGGCGGAGGGGCCTGGTATGGGGCTGGGACCCCGTGCTCCTCACGTAAACCTTTGCAGACAAGATATCCCTCCCAATTAAGAAAACAACATAGGTGGGTGTTGGGCCAGGCTGTTCTGCACCTCTGTCCTTCCTACCAGTCTCATTATGCTTTCTTCTTTAATTCTCTAGTTGTAGGATTTCCGTTAAGCCAAATTTCAGGCGGTTCTGAATGATGGTTGTTCTGTGCTTTAGTTGTAATTTTGATGTGGTTGTGGGAATGTGTGAGTACTGCATTTATGGACGCTTCCACCTTGACCGGAAGTCTCTCAGCTGTCCCACTTCTGAAGGTTGGCATCTTCCTTGTCAGTCACGTCACATCTTCTAACCCCAGTGTGTTCATGTCCATGACTGCTGGAACAACGGACTACAAACTGCGTGGCTTACAACAAAAACTCCATCTTTCACAGAACTGAGTTGAGGTGTGGGCAGGGCTGGTTCCTGCTGGAGGCTCTGAGGGAGAATCTGTCTCCCGGTTTGTGGTGGTTGCCAGCAGTCCTTGGTCTACAGATGCATCACTGCAGTCTCTGTGCCAAGCTTTACATGGCCTTTCCCCGTGTCGTTCTCTGAGTCCAAATCTCCCTCCTCTCATGAGGATGCCAGTCACTGGGTTAGGACCTACACACAACAGTAACCCAGAATGACTTCGCCTTTATTTGTTTATATCTATGAAGAACCTATATCTAAGTAAGCTAACATTTACAGTACCAGGGGTCAGGACCTGAACCCATCTTTTTGGAAGACACAGTTCAACCCACAACACCCTGGAAGGCAGAGCCTACATTTTTCTGTGTGCATTTATTCATCCAACATGATTGAGGACCTACTATGTACAGGGCCCTCTTCTTGATGCTGGGGTCATGGCAATGAACAAGACAGGGTCTCACCGCTCTTAGAACCTACATTCTAATGGAGATTGACCTTCAAAAGGCACTCAAACACAGAAGTACGCATTCATGGAATGCAGAGAAATGGGGAGAAAAACCAGAGTAATGTGACAGAGAGCCATGGGGCGGGGGGAGGGGGGGGACACTTCAGAGTTCCCACCTGTATCTTCCTTCCTGCAGGTTTGCAGTCAAATAAGAGGACTGACTAGCCAACTGTTGCAGAAATCCCTGTGAAAGGACACCTGTGAGCAGTGCTTTGGGGATGGGTAAATGGGTTTGATGAAGCCGGGAAGGTGCAAGCACAGGGCCTGGAAATCTTGATGGGAAGAACCATGGGGATGTCTTCCGTGTCCCCACATTTTTTCTTTCTGACATAAATGGTGCCTGGGACCCATCTACGACATGCCAGGCTTTTCCATCTGTACCTCAAGTTTCAGAAAACAACCCTTAAGACTTCACTGAAGATGTTAAAAGCAAACAACACTCAGAAAAGAAAAACTACGGGCACTAAATGTTTGCTCTGCCCTTGCACAGGTCATTGTGATTGTCATGTTCTAGGTCCTCCATCCTCAGCGTCTAGACACATCTCCTGGAGAGAGCCTACTGGCCAAGCGTCTGCATTTAACCAGCCCCCTGGGTGATCTGCACTCATTAAAGACCAGAACGCACCATCCCAGGGTCCCCCGTGACCTCTGTTTTCCTTCTCTTACCAGACTCTGCAGGTTCTGTGGATGGGACAGGGTTTATGTGGATGGGACAGGGTTTGTGTGGAGTCATCTTTGCATGTCTTTCAGAATTTGGGGATACTTTCTGCCTCTTTATAAGTTAGAGATGCAGAACCTGTCAGTGAGTTAAGGGAATATATTTTCTTATGTATATAAAAATGTTGAGGTCACTACTTACATCCCTTCTCTCTGATGTTAACACCTTCCAACCCCAAAGGAGTTAACGTATAGCCGGTCAGGTAGAGGACCTGGATTCCCACTAAGAAACTGTCGCCGGGTGTGCAGCTGCTCACTCATCAGTTATTAGGCAACCCAGGGGTCTGTCTATACCTCTCTCCATAGATTTCAACTGTGACTCTTCAGAAAATAAATTTGCTCATTTAATGCTGTGAAATCCTGATCTGTGGGGATACTGGTCAGTAAAAGGCAGAAGGGTAGCAGTTCACATAGACACAGAAATCGTTACAAAGCCAATGTCCAGACTAAAGATTACAACATTCACCTCTGGGTCCCATGCACACTTTTAAAGCTCTCCGAGGTGCATAATAACACATCCACCTCCCATAACCTGACACACAGCTCAGATAATGCTACCACGTACACAATTCCAGCCAGAGATTTACAGTATCGAGTTCTAGGTACCGTAAAAGATGGCGTTGTCTCTCGGTCAACAGGGCGGTGAACATAGACTTTTCCATTCTCGTGATCTTCTATAGAAAACAAGCCAATCTCCGGATATCTATCCACACCTGGTCCACTGATTAAATACATCAGTGCCATGTTAACTGACATATTGTTGAACAGCTGGAAGGAAGAAAAATTAAGAAAAACAGAATGAGCATAAACCACTTTGCATATAATTTACCAAGGCCGAGACTCAGAGGCATCGGTGAAGAACCATACCCAGCAAGAGTGCATGGGAGGGCTTGTCCTAAAGAAATAAGCGGGTCAGCAAAGGTGCAGGAGCAAGGAACAAGTTGACTGTTAATAGTGAGAAGTCACAAGCAACATCAATGTGCAACCACATGGAAAGAATGCTGTGGCCTGGACGTCCATGCTCCTCCCCAGAAATGGGCGTGGCCCAGGGTTAGGCAGAAGCTGCATGTGGAAGAGCAAGCAGAGTGTGACCCATTCTGCTAACACAGATTCCCGTGGTGAAATTGTAGGGAGGTATCTGAAAGCATGCATACCCGTTTGTGAATTTCGGTTGTCCGACCAGGGAAAGACAAGTAATAGCCACACAGCTGACAGTTAGGAGAGCTCAGAGTGAGCCCGCGCACTGCATGCCTCACTCGTCCTGACCTACTGTAGAACAGCCCTTAACGGAAGCAGGTCATTGATGAGGAAGCAACGAGGGTCCCTAATAGAGGGAGCACGTGGAACGTCTGGAACATGTGCTCCAACCCCTGGGAGTCTACACTTTTAACCATTGGGCCTTGAAAACTCCCTGTAGGCCTTGAAAACGTCCTGTAGGGTTTTTATAGTAGGCATATGCTGTTTTTATAAACATTGTGAAAATGAGTTATTCTTAATTATTTTCTAGGAATCAGGCACAGTGGACGCAAGCACGCTGTGTAACTCAGAAGCCCATCACAGCCAGGAAGGTGGTGGAATGCACAGCCCGGGCCATGTGTAAGAATTCTGGCATTCTGACAGCACTGGATGTCTTCTTTGGTGCCTCAGTTGATCCTCAACCTCAGAGTGAGGGAGACAGTAGGGAGTGGTGGGGACTGTGGCATTCTGAGTACCTCAAACCCCATCTAATTGTTGCCATGTGAGAATGGCTCCATGTGGTCAGGTTTTACAATTTTTAAAAAGCTTCTAGAAGACAGAACTTTTAATACAGCCTCCCTATTTTTTCTAATGTTTTTATTGTGCTAAAATAACAACATAAATTTACTCTCTTAACTGTTTTTCAGTGCGCAGTTCAGTGATGTTAAGTACATTCATGTCATTGTGCTGCCGTCAGCACCATCATCTCCAGAACATTTTCATCTTGCAAAAGTGACTGTCCCAATTAAACACTCACCTGTGACACCCTCCCACCACCCCTGGCACCCACAGTTCTACTTTCCTTTTTTATTTTAATCTCACTTTTACCCCCTCCCCTCCCCCCGCCCCAGCTTCTGGTAACCACAATCTCCTTATTTTTAAACTAGTGGCCTGGTGCATGAAATTCATGAACATTAAAAGGGAATTAATTAGAGAAAATACTTTAATATTGCTATTTGCCCTTTCTTTATAATAGAAGTGTCAGAGATGAAAGAAAATTAGTAAAAAGTATATAAAAATCTCTCTCCTGTCAGACTGGGGTGCACTGTGGGACCCAGAGTCAAGTCCCCGCCCAACCACATGCACCTCAAAATCGCATGAGACCCAGACCCAGCCGGCCCCACCCCTGTCAAGCCCCACGGGGCGGGGGGCACAGCCTCAGGTCCCCCGGCCTGGTGCCCGGGCAGGCGGCATGGTCTCAGGTTCCCCGGCCAGACCTCAGGTCCCCTGGCCCCAGCACAAGGGCTCGAGGGTGCAACAACCATTTGCATATTAGCTCTCTATTATATAGGATAATGAATTTTTTAAAAAGACTCCACATGGGTTAAATAAATCAGGCCTGCAGACTGGAATTAACCAGCCCATTGACATATGTGACCCCAACTTTCTCGGCGACACTCCCGTGGAGAAGTCACCACTCAGGCAGAGGCAGACATGGGGAGCACAGTCCAGGGTCTCTCTGAGCACCACCGCCCCACCTCACGGCCACCTGGCCGCCAGGACGTCATCGTCCTGCCCGGGGCCCTGCTGATCGGGGGCCAATGTGGCCTTTCCCAGAGGAGGAGCAGCTGCCTTACCTCTCCAACTAATTTGGGAAAGGGTCCGGTGTCTTCCTCCTGCAGCTCCAAGGTGGTGACAACCCATCTCCTCTTGTATCGCCGTAGAGGCCGGTGGCTCTCCGCCTGGAGATGCAGTGACAGTGCTTAGGAGCAAGGCAGTGATGCGGGCAGGCGCTGGCTGGCCCTCCCCACATCCTTCCTCATCCTCACAACAGCTTCTGATGCTTAGAAATGAAACACACCTGTTCTCTTACCAACCTCGGAGTCCTTCCTAAACTGCGAGGCATGGCCACCAGTGACTCCCAGGGTCCATGAGGTCATTTTAGGGGCCACAGAGACAGAGCCTGGGAGACCACTGCCTATTGTGTGCCTACACCTGGCCTGTGGCAGACACGCAAACAGAATGAGCGGGAACGTTGCTCCCACTCTGTCTGAAATCACTGAGGCGGAAGCCTCCTTCCAGAGCTGATGGGTCTTTACCACCTCTCTCTCTCTTCTGATCCCCCTGGTAACCCAGAGAGAGCAAGACGTAGGTGCAGCATTAGGGTCGGAGACTTCTCAGGCAAGAGAATACAGGTAGAACTTAACACCGTGGTTTTGTTTGTATTACCTATATATTTTACAGTTACTGTCTACTTATGACACATGAACCTAGTTTATTGCCACATTAATTTTTATCCAGAAAAATGTACTTTTTAAAAATCCTCACTCAAGGATACTTTTCCATTGCTTTTAGAGTAGAAGGGTAGCGGGAGTGAGAGGGAGAGAGAAACATTGATGTGGGAGAGGCACATTGATTGGTTGCCTCCCAATGTGCCCCTACGAGGCCAGGGATCCAGCTTGCAACCAAGGTACGTGCATGCCCTTGACCAGGTATCAAACCTGGGCCAAACGCTCTAATCACTGTGTAAAATTGTCCAGGGCCAGGAAAATGTACTTAAAAAAAAAGACCTCATTAGAAAGTGAGTTGATCATGAGAACAAGAGGAGGGACACGATCCTGAGGTGGCCTGAGCATCGGGGTGAGCGCCTGTCTGCAGCCTGTGTGCCACCCCCACGCTGGGAACATTCAGTCCCCTCTGTGTACATTCCACAGAGAAGATGGCGTGGATCGCCTCTGCTGATCTCTGATGCTCACAGCTTGCTCGTATTCTAATTAGACATCAAGGCCCCATCTGAGACCTTGGCAGTCCCTCCGATTCCGAAAGCCCACACCAAGTTACAAACTCATTTCTGCCAACCAAACAGCACT